ATACTACTATAGGTAAAGAGTATACCCTCTTTATTAAGGTAGTTATTAGTAGTTCCTAGCTTAGAATCTATAGGTAGCTTTTAAACTAGAGCCCTTAGTAGGTAGAAATAGTATAGTCTATAACTTATTTATAGGTCTTAGCCTTCTTTAGAAAGGACTAGGCACTCTAGTATATAGCTATTAGCTTAATAAGGTAGCTTAGGTTTAATATTATATTATCTTCCTATAGTATTAAGAACTTTAGGTTTAAGAATAGTAATAGGTATTATTTACTTATATTTATTATTATAATTACTATAATATTAATTAGCCTTATAATCTCCCTTAAAGATCTTTCTAGGTTATCTTTATATACCTCTTATTAACTAAAGGTATCTAGTTATTATACTAGTAGTCTAGGTTAGTAATATAACTAAAATTAAAACTAGGAAAAGAACTCTACCTACCTAGTCTATTATTCTAATAGTAAATATAGCTTTATAAAGTACTTAAGGTTTTTATAATTAGTTAAGATTATAAAGGGGTTTTCTTATCCTTAAAGCTTAAGTTCTTATACTTTAAAGTATATAATAACTATTAAAAGCTCTTTATTATAGATTATATAGTTCTACTTTATAGTTAATAGCTTAGTTAAGTAGTAGGCTACTAGTTAGAAGACCTTATCCTTATTAACCTATAATTAGTAGCTACCTAGTTCTATACTAAAGGTATTTAGTTCTACTAGTATCTTCCTTATTAGGTCTTAAAGGCTTAGGTATAGGCTTAATAAGAATAATAATTTTAATATCTTAAATATAGTTACCTCTTCTTTATTCTATATAAATAGTATACCCTTCTTTATTAGCTAGGTAAGTAGCTCCTATATAGTTAAGAAGTTTAAAATAAAGTTATAATAAAAGTTTATAAATCTATTAAAGCTTTAAACCCCTTTTATTAAGGTAGGCACTTTTTAATTATAGATTATATATATCTTTTTTAAGTCTAGTATTAATAAGACCTTTACTTATATAATAAATCCTAGGTATTTTACTATTTTTATAGAGAAGTTATACTTTATTAGGTCTATATAAAGACTAGTATCCTTAAGGTAGCCTAAAATTACCTATACTTTCTCTTTATAGTCTTATAAGAACTTTAAAGTATAGATTAGGATATTATTAAAGTAGGCTATTATATATTTATTAAAGGAGTTACCTAGTATATAGTTAATATACTATTAGAATATTATTAGTACTTTAAAGAGACTAAAAGGGTATATAAGCTATTTAAAAAGGCTAAACTAGGTCTAGAAAGCTATAAACTTTTTAAACCCTATTTTTATTTATAGCCTATAAAATACTAAATAAATATTAAGCTTTATATACTATTTTATTATTAAGAAAGCCTATAATATCTTTTTAATAAGTAGGAGTAGGTATTTATTATTTTTTAAGATTATATTAAGCCCTTTATAGTCTATATAGAAATACTACCCTTTATTTAACTTCTTTATTAAAAGTACTAGTATTATAGCTAGAGATAAACTTACTCTTATTTAACCTTTATTTAATAAAGATATTAACTACTTTTATAATTCTAGTAATTAGTCTTAAGGTATATAGTAAAGGTAGTTATATAGTAGCTATTCTAGTATACTATCTAACTTAGTTTTAATCTTAATCTTATAGTTAAACCCTTCTTAGTAGGGTAGTAATACTATTATATCCTCCTTTTAGAAAAGGTCTTTAAACTTTTTATATTACTAAAGGATTATCTATTCCCTAACTAGCTTTTAATAGAGAATAGTATTAATTTTATAAATACTTATTAATATAATCTATATTACCTTATAGTATTCTTTAAAGTCTACCTTAAGTTAGTAATAGAACTAGCTTCTATTAAATAATACTAAGCCTTCTTTATTCTTCCTATAGTTTTTTATATATATCTTCTAGTATAGTTTTATCTTAAAGTAAATAAAGCCCCCTTTTATATCTATTATTAGCCTATAGTAAATAAGCTAAGGTAGTTTAAGTATTATTAGCCTTAATAATATAGGTATTATATAGAGTAAGACTAGGAATACCTAGCTATTAATATCTACTTTAACCTTTACTATATTAAATATTATAAACTCTAATACCTCTTTCTTTATAACTAACTTAATTCTTTACTTAGTTAGTAATAGGATTCTTTTAAAGTATAGCCTATTTACTACCCCCTTTTATATTACTCTATAGTATTTATAACCTAAGTTAATAAAAGTACTTATTAGTATATATACTTTTAAAATAGTAAAGATAAGGAATAGTTTAATATTTATTTATTTAACTATTTTTTTCTAGACTACCTTATTCTACTTACCTATTCCTTTTTAACCTTTTACTATAGCTAATATACTTAAAAGGAGACTTATCTTTAAATATCTTTTTTTCTTAAGCTATTAAATTAGTCCTTTATAGAAATACTACTTATATAGACTAGTATTAAAGATTTAACTAGCTTAAGCCTATAGGCTATAATTATATAGCCTATCCTTTTATAGTAAAGATATTACCTTACCTCTTAATATATATTAAGTACTATCTTAAATACCTATATAATATACTTTCTAGATTATATACTATTTAAGGTTATACTATTAGTAGCTAGTTTAATTCTAAAGGTATAAATACCTATTATTTAGATATCCTTTTTATAGTCTATATACTACCTTTATAGTCTTTATTATAATCTAGCCTAATATTACTCTTTAATTCTATATAATTTAAAATTAATTACTATCTTTTAAAATACCTAAATTATATTATTATAATTTATTTAAAAAATATTATAGCTAATTATAAGTATTTTTATTATAACTAATAGTATAAAGTAAAGTTTACTTAGCTTAACCTTATTTAATTATATAAAACTACTAGCTAAGGCTAATTTTTATTTAAAGTATATATAATAGTAATTAAAGGATTCTTTATTACCTTATAAGATTATACTAAGGTTTATTATTATTATAAACTATTAATAAAGGTTATTAAATACTATTTTAAAGTATCTTAGGAATTTATATAGGTTTATTATATCTTAAAGGCTATTTACTTTAAAATATATAATAACCTTTAATTATAATATAATATTAAGGTTTATTTAAATATATATAAATTAAGACTTTAAAAGGCTAATAAAGTCTATATTAGTCTCTAGCTTATATACTATAGCTTACTTTTATCTTATAAATACCTTAAGATTACTATTAAACTTCTCCCTTATAGGTAAAGGCTTTTATAAAACTATAAGTAGATTAGCTAAAAAAGGGGTACCTTTTAATACTACTATCTAGCTTTAAGGGTTTTAGTTAGCTATAGCCTAGGTATTAAAAAGGTCTTATAGTTATTATAACTCCTTTTTTAAGAATATATTTTACTTTATTATAGCTATAGTCTAGGCTAGAAGTACTTAGTAAGCCTTAGCTATTAATAACTATTATTTAGGTTATAATTCTATTATTATTACTTTTATTTTATTAGCTTTTTTTTTAATTAGGTAAAAAAGGTATTAATATAGAAAAGAGTTAATTATTAAAGACTAGCCTTAAAGTATTTATAGATAAGTATTATAATAGTATTAACTCTTTTATAGAGTAAGAAAGGAAGAAAAGCTAGTCTATCTATCTACTATAGTATATAAAGGGAGTATACTAGGGGTATACCTATAGTAGCCTTAGGCTAAGTCTAGCTAGAATAGGCTTAAGCCTAACTCCTTTATATCTTTAGGCTTTTATTAATACCTCTTTTTAGTATTATAAGGATATATAAAGTCCTTAGGCTTATCCTTTCTATACTTTTTATTACTATAAGGTATACTATATATAGAAGCTAATTTTAAGGGTTATAGCTTATTACTTATATAAAGAGAGGTCTTATATTCTAATAAGGTTATTTTTAGTCTTTTACCTTAAGTAATATAAATTTTATTCTTATATAGCTATAATAAAGCCTATTCTAAGTATAGCGTTATTTTAATAGCTTTAAGGAAATTATTAATTATAAGATAACTATTAGTTAATAGTATATTAAGTATATTTATATAATTATATATTATTTCCTAATTCTTAAGCTATTTCTTAATACTAATATTCCTTTAATATATATCTTATAGTATACTCTTATAAGTATAGTCTACCTTAACCTTTATATATATTATATTTAAAGTAATAATTAACTTAAGCCTCTTAACTAATTAGTAAATAGTATAACCTTTTAAGTATTCTTTTTTAAGCTTATTATATACTTTAATTATTAAATAGAGATTAATAGATAATATATTAAGTTTATAAACCTTATTTAGCTTAGTTTTACTCTCCTTATATACTTATAAAGTAATCTTATATTTTTATTACTTTTAATTAGATAAGGCTTTAAGTATATTAAGTATTTTAAAGTTTATTTTAATAGGTTTCTTAAGCTTTATAACTTTATAAAGTTCTACCTTATATATTTTAATCTTTATAGGTATATTAAAAGGATTTAATATATCTTTAATATTATTCTCTTTTATAGGATTAATAATTATTTATATATTTATTATAAAGGATTAAAAAGCTTAAATCTAGTTAAACTAACTTTCTAAGTTATATTATTTAAGTCTAGGTAAGACTATAGCTTTAGTATAAGATAATATAATAGAATAATAAAATAATAAAATATTATATAATAATAATAATAATAATAATAATAATAATAATAATAATAATAATAATAATAATAAATAAAGTAATAATAAAAGAAAGAAATTTATATAATATAAATATTATAAAAAGTTTTAAGTTATAATAAATACCTTATATAATTAAAACCTTCTAGGCTTATAACTATAAAGTATTAATATAGTTATATAAGATAGTAGTATAGTTAATATAGCTTATAAAGGAATAATAGAAAGTAAAGATAATAAAGAAAATTAGCTTTATATTAAATAAAGTTATAAAGGATAACTAGTTAATTTATATATCCTATTTCCTAGCCTTAGGCTATATAATTTAAGTTATAAGATAATACTATATCTTAAGATACTTAAGGTTATTGCTTATCTATACTTATCGCTGGTATAGATAAGATAAGCTCTCTTATCGGGGCAGTGCTCTGTGCGATACCAATGCTCAGGCAGTAGTTCGTAAAGTACGCCTCTTTGGTCGTGGGTAAGTCGCCGACGAAGAAGGACGCATTACCCTGCAACGTCCAAAGCGCCAGCAGATCTTCCCAGACACAATCCTTCGCTAGAAGGCCCTCATGGTGAAGCGCATGGTACAGCTGTACCACGCCGACGAGGGCGCCTAGCATCGCGGCATATGGCAAGCCCACGTTCTGCACCGTGGCTCGCATATTTTGTATCAAAAGCCTGCAGTACATGGGATTGCGTCGCAGAAACTTGAACGGCGGAGATCGGACGCTGGGGAGTATCCCGGCCTCGACAGCGAGCTTCTGCGCGGCCCATATCGGGTCGTCGTCCCAGAGACCGGCGGCTCGAAGGACTTCGCAGCGCGACGAGGCCGGCACATCCAGCATCAATTGCTTTATCCTACGACTTTCGGCTTGCATCGTGCCGAGTCCATCGCAGGTTTGCCCGAATGTGTGCAGAATGTCGAGGTAGACTTGGACGGCAAAAGCAAGCCAGAGTGGTGTAGTTTTGCGATAATCGTCCATCATATACGCCAATCCGCGGGTTAACTCATCCGCCACGGACAGACGGCCCAGCCGGGAGACCAGAAAGCTAAGATCTGGCATGAGCTCAAGCACTGCTGTCATGTCCTGCTCCCATTTCTGACGGTGGGTCTGCGTTGGTTTGCTGAGAGCTTCGTCGTACCAGCCAAACTTGCCGTTGTAATCTTGGAAGAACGCGCCATCTGGATTGACAGTTGTGGTAAAGCTAGATACCAGAGTGAGCGTCAGGCTTTCTATCCATACGCGTATGGATTAGTTAATCCATATGGAATTTTCCATACGCCATATTCCATATTCCATACGGGAAGCTCGTATTCCATACGTATGGAATATGGATTCCATGCATGGGGATATTGTTTATCCTTGCCCTCTCTATACATTTATCAGATCACAATAAGCATTCGATACTTCATATTTCACAAGCATAGAAATACACAATAATAGTAGTAGTAGTAATTTTGCAAGCAAAAAGCAATTACACATGACGAAAGTGTGAAACCATTACGGCTGTGTTTTCGGTGTAGGGTACTCCGTACATGCTCACCAGTTGGCTCCGAGATGGCTATGACGTCATTTCTTGTATTTCCATACGTATGGAATAAGTTCCATACGGACGAGGGTACCTTAATCCATACGAAAAACCTTCCATATGGAATATGGAATATGGATAGAAAGCCTGGTCGGGCGGAAGATCCACGAATCTCGACAGGCGTCGTTGGCACAGGCTATTGGGATACAGCTCGTCGCCATGATGCAGCGGCCTCACGAGTGCGAATAGAAAATGCAGGAAATGTCTGGAGAATGACGCGTCAAGGAGGCTTCCTTGCACTTTGGAAGCGATGGCGCTTACGATACTCATCGAAACGGTAAAAGCCAATCAAGCGACAGCAATCGGTCTAGAACAGCCAGTATTATGTACGGTGAAATGGTTTCTTATAAAGATAGTATGCCGATCAGTTTGAACTACATGAGTGAATGCAGGTGACCTGCTGCTCTTTTGTTTGTACACCATGCACTGGCGGATTTCGCAAGTACTCTGATGCGCTCCATCAGCTCGCTACTTATAAACCCACAACGGAACTAGCTTTTACAGTACGACATAGAAAGCAATAATTGTAGCAGGAATTTACCGTATGCACGGATTTACATGATATTAATATACATAAAGCAATTGAGTCTCAAGTTTTTCGAGGCACGTGGGATTCACCCTGTGCTATTCACCTCACATCGGTGAAAAGCGCCCCTGGCTCTTCGTAAGCACCTCTCACAGCGCAACCAGAAAAGTACATGCCCGGGACAAAACCGGCTCTCCGGGCCAACCCTGGACGTCAAACCCGGTTTTAAAAAATCACTGCGGTGCGTCAAGAGATGGATAGGCCCCGCTATGTTCCGTTCAAGCATCGTCGTTATCGGAAAACAAGGTCTTTCGTTCTTCGTCGGGGTTTCTCTAGCCCTAGAGACTATCTTCTTCCTGTAAACGGGATATCTCGCTCGCAATACGCATCTTATCGTATTCTAGTTGCTGCTTCTGAGCCTGCAAAGTCTTAACCAATGCTGCCAACCTAGATACCTGAGCCTGAAGTGCTTCTAGCTCAGAATGCCGCGCCCTTACTGCCACCAGCTGTTCCGACCCAATATCGAGCAGCCGTTTCAGTTTTGCCGTTTTATCTAGGCCTGTGCAATCATACGCCACCGTGATGTTTTCTGTATAGCCGCTGGCGATTGCCTCCAGATGCTTGACATCTAGACCTAGCGTGCTGAGACTGTTCCATATGTCCTTGGCGGTGATGGTAGACCTTGTTTCAGTCGGCAAGGCGAGAAGCACTTTAGAGGCGTCTGAATCGCCACCCGTGCTGTGAATAAAGAAAATCGATAATGTGACCGCGAAGCTTGAGGTCTCCATTGGAGTGGATTCAAAATACGATTGTTAGACCGTCCGGGATGTCTACTTTAGCGCGCTGAAGTCTTATGTAGGGGGTATAGTGTGTGCTAAGGTAGCGCTCGCATTTACAGGGGTGTTTGGTAGACGTCGTGTGTCGGCTGCCGAAAAGGAGCCGAAATAAGCCGTGGACTGCTTTATAACGCTTGTAGGAGCCATATCCGTCCGTTTCTAAACAATGGCATGAATATATAGTTCACGCCATATGTATCAGCATGTACAATAGTAGAAGTCTGCGAGACTGTACACACGGAAGTTATGGCGCAAAGGAATCTTAGATTCAGTCTCGACGCGGCTCACCCCATAGAAATCAGTCGTTGGATCGCCATTTTGGTACAAGGCACATTATGGTTTATTCAAATTTGCCGAAGCCTATACCGCATCGCTGTCAGCATACGAGCAGCTACCGTTGGCAGAAGTGTGATGATTATTTTATAGGGCACATATGCGAGGAATAGGTTGTTCATGAAGATGATATGTGTTGCACTCTGTCTGTGGTTGATGAGAATTATTCTCCTCGCAACAATATGGTGGCTATTCTGGCTCATTCTTAGCCTTGTATTCTTGGCCGCTCGTTTCTACCCCAGCTGGTCACTCAAGTAGTTGCAACTACATTGAAAGGCAAAACAAATGTCATGGCTGTTCATATTGTAACCGTTTTCTGCTGCGGATGTCCTCTGTCCAGGTGGCGGATGAACCAAGCTTGATGGCCACCTTATGCGCTAGCCTGTGGAGGCTATCGTGCCTGGCGGATGCCGTCGGGCGTTGCTGGCTGCTGCTGGTGGATGTCCACTGTGGTTGACATCCACCAGCAGCGCTAGCCCATCTCCCTACCATCCTCCCCACCTGACAGCGTTCCTACACCTACCGCCTACCGTGGACATCCACAGGTGGACATCCATAAGCTACGCGGCCGTGCCACGGCTATTAACGGCGGAGGCTAGCCGTGGGATTGGCCTAGCGATTGGGGTGGATGTCCACGCTAGTGGATGCCAACACTAGGATGCCTGTGTGGCCGTCCACCTGCGGCAACAGCCCAGCAGTGACAGCCATCCCACACCAGCGCCGACCAAGGCTATCCTTTTTTATCCATCAGTCCTCGTTACTTTCTTTTAATTAAATTAAACCAAAATATAACTTTTCCTAGACCTGCCCTTAATAGCGTAATGTCGCCCCTAGACAATTCCGGCGTCCTTAGACACTAGCGTCTATAGACATTTATGCTGTCCCTAGACTCTTTTAGCATCCCTAGACATATGGACATCCCTAGACGTAGTCGCCCTTAGACAATTCTAGCGTCCCTAGACATGCGGATGTCCTTAGACAATTCCAGCATCCTTAGACATTTAGCTGTCCGTGGATAATTCCGGCGTTCTTAGACATATAGCCGTCCATGGACAATTCCGGCGTCCTTGGACATATAAGATATCCTTAGATAGTGCCGACGTCCTTGGATATGCAACTCCTGCCGATCAAGAGAATCTTGGACGAGCTCCCTCGCTACGTGTCGCTATAGATGGAGAGTGGAGAGGGCAGGACTATACAAGCTTTTCTAGCCACGGGATTGCCGGCTTGCTATAATGAGCTTAGCCGCATATATAAGCCGTTTCTAGACAGCATCGCCAGAGATGAGCGTTTGAATATATCAAGCCACTCAGGTAGTGTATCAGGGAGTGCTTTAGGGTCGAGTAGAAAGTCAGAAAAGAGATCTAACACTGACCAGACCCTAACTCTATCTCTTATACAGCATTAGAACAACGGCTTGTCTACATTCTTTTAGCAGGCGAAAGAGTCGTGATAAAAAAATACCAAGGGTTGATCTAGATTGTCCGTGTTTCCCACAGAGTGCCGCTCATTGTAACGCGGCAGAAAGCGTTTGGTACGAACTCGTTGCGTGGAGGACTTCAAAAGAAACTCGTCGCTCCTGGCGACCGGGAGGAAGACCAACAGAGCGGCGGGTCTTCTCACGTGTGTGCTGGGTATCCTCATTTGTAGATTTGGTCGCACGTTCTGCAAAGTGCTATGATGACTGCTTGTCGCTTTCGTACCTTCGCATCTCGCACGTAAGCGTGGAATGTGGCCAGGGTGACGATAAACGCTTTTCAGTAAGAAGTGTTCAGTTTCATACGCTGACAGAGTATCAAGAACACTGTGTCCTTTCGGAGCGCTTTCGCTACATCTTGAGCATTTAGAAACGCGGATCAAGCGTGGCATACAGCGTCCTTTCGTTTGGTGCGAATCTTGCCGGTTCTATTCTAGCCTCAGGCTTCGCGACTCAGGTGCTGGTCATCCGCCGCGACGCGTACCCCGGACTGCTAGGGTGCCCGGCCTTTGTACCTCCTGGCCGCACAGTCCCTGCGGCTTTGTACCTTGATGCGGCTGGGGATCTGACGTGCACGCTGGTACGGATACAAGGGCATGGGTTTCTTTGTTGTTTGTCATATCGTGTATTGGGTGTGACGGATGGAGTGGATTTATATGCCACTCAAAGCAGTTTTGTTTGTAGATAGGTTTAACAGAGGTTGAATATTTTCGCCCTTCAAATAAGATTTGGATTACTAGCTTTGTTTGTACTGTTCAGCCTTATATTATTTAGTTACTGCTAAATACTGGTGAAAGCGTTATCGTCTCCGTAGGCCACAGAATCTCTGGCTTTCGCGGCGTTATACGATCGGACCACCACTCTCACTCAGTACGGTCAGGTATCTAATACGTGAGGTGAATTGACATGGGCAATACGCCACTATTAATGTTTGTTGCCGACAAGCGCTTAAAGAAATATTAGCTAAGGACTTATATGACAGCGACGTGGCTATCCTTTCTCGTAGCAGCACAGCAGACGGCCATGCTGGCGATCATATCTTGCTGGCGCTACTATTGACGATTACGTAGGCGTAATTGGATTGGATAATTGATGCTATGAGGCAAGCGTATTTCAAGACTGAAGAGGCGTATTAGAAGCGGAGAGCTTCGACGTGAAGCAATGGTTGGGATCCGTCCACTAGTGTTATGATTCTGAAAATGATCGCACGTCGGAGAAATGTATTGTTAAGGATAGACGAGTCTGTTACATATGAGTCTCTTTCATCTACTATCAACTCCAGAATTTAAAATACAAGACACTTCCACGGAGGTGGCTCAGCAGCCCTGTGGCGTCCGGCGCGAGGAGCAAAGGCACATGGAAGAATCATCCCAAAGCTAGCACTTGCGATGATAATCAATCAATCGAGAATCTATATGGTCTACGGATGCCCAGGCGAAGAGGCCATAGAGGCACTTTCCCCATGACATCCGCTCTAAGAAGCAAGTTTGGGATTGCCATCCAGATGGACAAAACAACGGCCCTGAGTGGACAGTTGGTGAAACAATGAAGGGTTTCTAAAAATAAAAAAGCGTTAGACTACTAAACTTTTGCTACTTGTGACACTGGTTTCACACGTGCATCAAATTCATGTCTGTCTTCGCAGAAGTTACCACAGTTTTGTACATGGAGAACTTCCGAGGCGCTCGCCTTCGGTAAGATGGTAAGCAAGTCTGTCCAAAGCAGCCTTTATTAGGTAAGAACATACCCACGTCGAGTACCTAATGTCTCAAGTACTTGATCTCACTTGGAAATACAGCCATGTTGCCCGAGAGGCGTGAGGTGCGACCATCGGGGCCAGATTACCTCAACTTTGCGCCGTTTCTGATCTCAAGCACAACTATGTTCACTACAGAATAATCTCAAGTCACATGAACCTTTTTTTGCTTTTTCCCGCTGCCTTTTATAGAACTGGCCAACTCAAAATCGTGCATCCTAGAGTCAGGCTGTCATAGCTCTGGTCATCCGCTCCTCCTTCTGCGCTATGCACAAGTTGGCAGCCATTTCCTTCTCCACGGTCTCCTTCCAAGTCGGGCACAACATTCAACTTGATCACGGCAGATTCGAGGTGGCAAATACACGAGGGGCCAAGCGTGTCGGAACATTGGACGAGACCGAGTGCACTTACACCACAAAACGTCAAGTCGTGTGGGTCTGCTTCACGATCATGGGATGCGTCTATGCCGCCGACTCACAGGCCAGAGAGGCGTTTAGGTGAGAAAAATGGTGGGCTGCGGTCAGAAAGCTTGCGTCGCTTTGGCAGATCTGGCAGTGTAAAAGGCGATGGGTGGCTGGAAGGCGCTCCCAAGTACATGGGTAGTACCCGTCCTCGGAAGCAGGCTGCTGAGCACCAGGAGGCGCGGCCCTCTCCTTCTTCCCTGACACCTCGAGCACACAAAGACGTGAGGGGTGCGGCATGGCTTTGTGGCTCATACGAGTATTGCGACGACGAGATGAAATGTACATGTCGCGAAGGAAGGAATAAACGCGAGTGAAGCAATAGCAAGCCTTTGGGTTATACCTTGCGATGACCCGTACAATTTACACGATGACAGTCTCTGCTACGATTGTAATGATGCAATAATATGGATGGCGTACTCTGTGTTGTATTAACAAGAACATTTGCCAAGTTCAGCTTGGTGTCGACTTGGACCCGGAAACGACGGCGACGCAGAGAGCCGGTTGTCTCTCAACGAATACCGGCATTGGGCAAGTGAGCCTACGAACACATGACCAACAAGAGATGATAAAATACGCCCAATACGCACCCGTATGTACCTCGTAGATGATTTGTAAGTACCCATTTCCGCGCAGATCTATGTCAAAGAGGGGTCAGGGTGTAATACCAGGCCAACACTTTGCAAGTCCACCGGCAATACAAGGATAAGAGCAGTAGGAACGCAGAGAAGGTGCAATTTCGTCGTCTATATAGAAATACAACGTCGAGTATAAAAATACAAAGGGAACCTTGCCATGTTCCCGGCGTGTACCAATAGGGTATGCCGCAGCACACCCACCACGAGCAGCAAGGCCAGCTGAGCGAGACGCAAAGTGCGGCAAGCCAAGACGGTGTGGAGGGGCCGTGTGGTCACCCGCCCACGAAACACATCGGGCGTTCGGGATCGATACAAGCATATTAAAAAAAACGCGTGTTCAGTCTCGGATTCTAGTGGCGAGGCTTTTTTGACAGACGGCGGTTGCTATTTCTAGTCTACATTGAGCCCATCCCCACACCACGACAGGGTTGAGACATGCGCCGGCCACATCTTTTTGTTTCCTCTGGACGGCCCGTAACGTGGTCCTTTTCCGGAGAGGCGATCGCGAATCTGAAAAGGAATGCATGGAGGGAAGGGGGGCGTTGGCAGATTGCTGGGGTGCCGCCCCCCCTTTTGCTGCGGTTCAGACATGCACGACCCTCGATGTAGAAACTCGGTCAGCCAGTGGCAATCCAATGGTGATGCTCTTCCGACCGAGATCAGCCAACGCACGATCTGCTAGGCCTTTCATGCAACTGTCACTAGCATGACATGCGGGATTCATGCGGTAGTTGGTTCAAGCCACACTAGTAGCTCTAGCAGGGTACTAGTGATGTTGTATGAACATGGAAAGAGAGCTTGTGTAGCCTGTCAAACGACTAGTTAGGCGAGCAGGGCTGACCGTCACAGTCAGTTTTGACGAGGTTTGCTACATCTATTGGTGTGGGTGGCGCGGCCACTTGCCTTGCCATACGGTGACGACGGCAAATCGCACCCATCAAAGTCTAGGAGCTAAAATAACTAGGTACTTAGTGACTGCTAACTAGGAAGTGAGGCGACGAATAACTTGCCATGTTGAGCCGGGCGGCGCCGCCTCTCATTTGCTACCGAGATGACAGAACTTGGGGTTTTCATCACTTGGGTTCCTTGCATCCCCAGAATACGACCAAGTGGCTTGGCTTGTGGTCGACGCCCGGGCGGTTTCAGCTGGTGATGCCTTGGACTCGATATATTCTTGCATCGAGTAACAAGGACGTGCAGGGGGCGGAAACGGCCTTTCTGCTTCCCAGTCGCGAAAACCTGTTCTCATGAACAAGGTTAGTCTGAGAGCGCATGCATGCAGTGCTACCAAGGCCGGGCACGCGGATCTTTTCCCACACATTAGACGAACGAGCCCTCGGAGAGCAACCGCAGGGAGAAAACGGCCATGATGCACGCATGCATGAGCCGACTGGTAGTGTCGTCGTTCTGCATGTACGGGGGCAGCACAGATCATGTACGAGAGCCTGCAGCCTAGGCAGGGTAGCACTGTGCAACATGCAAGCCCATGATCCCGATGACACTCCCTTTCTCTCGTGAGACCGCGATGGCATCCATCCCATCCACTCCGGCCAAGGCGAGCCCTCGCTCCCGACGGGGCTTCTTTCTCGCGATGGAAGGCACACTCAAGCAGCCCATCCCCACCCCCCCCCCCCGGGGCCAAGGCAAGGCAAACAGGTTTAGATACATACATGTGAGATGTGACTGGCCAGTGGCCGCCGCAGACGACGGACACCTGCCCGTGTCCAAGACTTTCTGTGATGGCGCAAGTGCGTATCCACTGCCGATGGGCACCAACGGCACATCATGCCTGGGTATTGGGTGTCTCGGACTTTTGCCAAGGGTGCTTTTTTTTCCAACGGCACGTGTTGCTTGTCGGGGGGGACGGCGCGATTCATTATTCAGCCACCCGGGGTGGTCGGACGGCGGTGGGATATGACAAGGCGATGGCAGGACAGGTGTTTCTGTCGTGTCAGTCCCTCTCCCTTTTTGCGATGAAGCCGCAGGTATAAAGCACCTAAATCGGATTTTTGAAGGGTCACAAACCAGGCTGGGTTACAACCCGCACCACGACCAAAAATACTTATTAATACGGTGGTGGTTCGCGCCGCGCCGTAGGCCGCGTCTCCCGCTATTTATGGGCCATGGCTTTTGGAGCGAACCCTCCCCCGTATTTGGTCACTTTACCAGCAGTTAGTTTGACGTTATTGGAGCCCGCCGCCACTGGCTTGCATGCAGCGCGGGGAAACAACCAATGGCTCTGTCTTCCCATAAACAAAGCCCGATAAAGGACCATCTGGGCTAAAAGTAGCTAATGGCCGGCTTGAGAGAAACATCAGTAGCAAACAGGCGTGACCCGGCGGCGACGCCGCAACTTCTGGTCCTCGGCGGCTTGAAAAGGCATCCGGGGCGCTCAGCCTTTGCGAGCCATGGCCCGACTTTGCACCGCGCCGATGCGGTGAGAGACGGTGGAAGAAGGCGCGCAGCTGAGAGGGTGCTTGTTCTTATCCGATACCTCATTGGCTGGGTGTCAGCTGAGGTCGGTTTGGACGCGCAAAGTCGGTATACCATGGGTGCTGCGTACGGCGGCTGTGAGGACGGAATGATGGATGCTCCGTCGAGGCTGATATAAGTGTCCTGGCCTGTTGTTTCTTGTGTAACCCGTGTAATCTGGCATGATGCAAGCCCGGACACGGCATCGGATGTGTGGGTATTTCTCATAGATCAAGGCTCTAGATGATGCGATGTGCAAGGAAACCCTGGGCAGAGGAGCGGGATAGCAGCGGATGTGAGCCTACCATGGCACCAGGAGGACAAAATAACCCGCCGGTTAGGAACACTAACCACTTCCTTATTCGTTCTATTTTTGACTATTTTATTAACTTCTTTCCTTTTCTAATTTTCCTTGTTATTGTTATCCCTCTTATTTAACTTTTCTTGCTTATACTTATTCTAATTCCCCTTATTCCTCTTCCTAGTTTAATCTTTTTAATAATAGAGTATTGACTTGTAATAGGCAGCGATGGGAAAGATGCCACAGCAGCTGATTCGGACAACGCCCGGTGGAATTAGGGATCGAGCGGCATGCTGGCTGCCAAGTACACAGGGTTGTGGGCGTGTTCTGCAAGGTAACGAGCAATCGTTAGAGCTGCGCATGCTGCGGAACTTGGAGAAATTCCGGTTTTCGTGTCTCTGCAGTTTAGCAAATGAATGTGCCTGTAACGCGAATACCAATTATCCCAGACGAGACGCCAATTGGCAGAAGAGGGCCAGCGAAGAATTTCAGACAACGGAGTCTATTCTTGGTCCCCATGGAAGCTCTCACCTGGGGAAAACCACTGAACGTTTTGTTTCGTTTTTTATCTCGGCTGAATAAACAAGAAACGCAGTGCTGTAAAGACAAGGCTTGACGCGCATGGGTAGCATTGGCATTCCCGATTCCCGACAATGTGGGCGGATGACTGGGGGGAAGCCAGGAAGAGAGCTTCCTACACGACCTACTGGGAACTAGTTTGTGTCTCGGGTCTGTGACAAAATCGTCAGGATGGGCTGAAAGCACAGGAAGCGATGCTTTGTACTAGTTGTGAACTGGTTAGATCCGGTCGTCGACTCGGCTTGGGCGCAAGGTGTTATTGTTACCGACCTTGTCTTATAGGCCCATGACACTTTTTAGTGAAGTCGATAGTGAGACATTCTCTTCAGCTCACGGCTCTTTCCTAGCCGAGAAAACTCTAAAAATAATCAAAAATAAAAACAAGATGAGGATAATCATGAACAACAAGTCGATAAGAGTAACTAAGACGAGAAAGCCGGATACTCAATTAGTTACATCGCAAAGATGACCTGTAGTTATTCTTGCCAGCTAAGCCAGGAGATAGATGTAGGGGTGATCCATTGACCAAGGACAGTACAAATGCCTGCGAATTCACGACGGCCAAGTAACATGACCACCAAAAGGTAAAGTCGCTGATTGAAACGACAATGGAAACCTACAGCATCGTATCGTGGCTCCGCCGGCTCATCTGAGCCTGCAGAGAGGAGAGAGAGGGGGGGGGGTGCCAGAGACGGCCACATGCCCACACCTCGGACGACAACGGCGCTCACGCATCACACACTTCTCCCACCCATGACGGATGGACGCCTAGTATCCCGCTGTCGTCTACCAATGATTTCCATCAAGTGTCGTTATGCAGTCCTGTGGTTCTATCCGTCTGTGGCATCCAGGTGGTCGCTGTCGCATACAAGAACCGACTAGTGGCGAGACGTTGGAGACCGAGTGATCCGGGGCAGTGTAGACAAGATGCAAGATGATGCACCTGTACTCCGTACCGTGGTGTGCAATGGATTCCATAGGTTCTTTGGCATCCAAACTGGACGGAAATAGCAAGGGCCCCAGTGTTTTTATTACGTAGATTGCCCTTTGCCAAGGGATCCTATACGCACAGGACAAGACGGACGACTGAGTCACCAGCAGGTTTGTGTTAGTTAGTACTGCAACAACGGGCAAGTTGCGTGCCGTCAAGACCACCACCACGGGTGCGTAGTAGCTACATGGTGTCTATTACAGTGAGCATTCTAGTCGTCTTTTTGGTATAAGACGACACTGCGCCCCCTCATCCGGGATAAACGGTTCTGAATGGATTCTCCTTCTTGCGAATTTCTCCCACCATTGTACAGTCAGTCGCTGTGGTGCTTGTCTTCAAGTCTAACATTTCAATCACACAGAGCAAAGTTTCGTGCTCGTCTTCTTTTCTTCGCGATTCGGCGCGGGATATTTGCCTACATTGCCGATATTTGGTAAGTCACAACTCATATGCGCTATACAGCAGACAGAAGGGCTTGCGCGGCAATATTGGCAGTGCACATATTTTGGGTTTTGGCGTCATTTCAACTTCCGCAAACAGCAAAAACCCAAAGCTTCTCGGCTTGCCTATTTCCATCTGCTTCTCTCATTTTTTTTTTATCATTGTGTTGCATTCTCTCTTCTTCGCGTCTGGTCAGCCGACTTATACAACTGTTCCATTCTGACCAACCACGTGTTATACTGCATACAGATTCGGCGACGCACCACAGACGGCAGCAGCCAAACGTGGAGCCGGGTAACGTTGCGCAAACAAGACGAAAGAAGAACAGAGGTCGGACAAGGGTCCTTTTCGTCTTTCCTCTTTCGCAACTTCAAAAAGCGACAGAACAACCTTGGGTAGGTAGTTGGGGAAGCGTGATCCAGAGAGCCGTGGCAAAGGGCTTCCGAGTCATGGTCTCGGGACTGGACAGCAGCTGAGAAACGAAACGAGTTCGACTGGGGGGGTATTGGGAGACGAGTCTTGCATATCTTGCTTTTTTTTCTTTGTTTTTCTCGCAATTCCGAATACCAGGCTTGTCGCCAACATGGGATTGGCCGAAGTGTTGCAGTGGCCGAGTGCACAGCGGGTGCTGTTAGGACGGGAGCGGGATTACAGCGGTGTTGGGGCGAGACGCAGTGGGAGTTGGGGCCAGGACCATCAGAAGCAGGTTCGGGCGGTTCAGGCACCTCAGGCACCTCAGCACCACCTCCGGCCTCAGCAGAAGCTACAGCGTCGCCAGCAACGCGAGTTACAGCACGAGTTACAGCACGAGCTACAGCACGAGTTACAGCACGTACAGCACTTACAGCACTTGCAGCACTTACAGCATTTGCAGCACTTACAGCACCCTTACCCAGCGCAACCACGAACCCCCCATTTCCGCTCGTCACAGCGTCCTCTTGCGCCTGAATCCGCTGCAACGCCCGCTACAACGCCCGCTACAACGCCTGCTGTACATCGTGGATCACTTAATACTACTCCTACAAACTGCACCACCGCCACCACCACTCCCCCCCCACTCTACTCACCACCTTCCCCCTCCTCTCCCCTCCCTCTCCACCGTCACACAAGACGTCTTGCCTCGTCCGTCTCTTCCTCTTCCTCCTCCACCCACCGACGACGCTCGTCACGGCCCATTGCCAAAATGCCGCCCGAGTATCGCCATGCCCGCAGCTCCAGCATGAGCATCGCCAACGCCGCCTCCGGACCAACCTCCTCCGTCATGCCCAGGAGTCCTCCCAGTAAGTTTTTTTCTTGATCCCGCCGCAGCCGCTACCCAGCACACAAAACCCAACGGCGCCGCCCTCGTTTTTTTCTGCCGCGCTTCTGGCCAGGCGGGTCAGCATTCTGCCCATCCTGCCCTCTCAGCGACCGACCAACTGCCTACACGTTACCCCTCCCTCCCGCGACTCGTGTGCCGCCCGCGAGCTCCCCGAGCATGTCGAAAATCCATCTCAGACATGACGTCGTCTCTGGTTCTAAGCGCTAACGCGACATTCCCTCACAGACACTGCCCATGTTCCCTGCAAATTCTACCGCCAAGGTGCCTGCCAGGCTGGTAATGCCTGCCCTTTCAGCCATGAGCTCGGTGTCGCCTCTGAAACTGTCTGCAAATACTTTGCCAAAGTAAGTCTTGTCCCATTTATTCACTTGGCTCTCTCCGAGCTCCTTGGGCCTCCAACTGGGCTCCGACTAATCATTTGTGCCAGGGAAACTGCAAGTTCGGCCCCAAGTGCGCAAACATGCACGTCCTCCCGGACGGCCGCCGAGTCAATTACGGAAAGAATGGCTTCACTATCATAACCGCCCCCCTCCCTGGCAGCCCCGGTGGTCCGACCTCGCCGAATTCCGCCGCTACAAACACCTACAATCAGTCCTCCGCCAGTGCCCTCACTACGTCGCTATACGAGGCCGATCAGTCCGGCTTCCCCAGCTACCTCACCGAGAGCCGCCAGCAGCTCCACGACCATCACCTAAACCTCGACAACGGCCACACTTCCGAGTCTCCCTTTGCTTTCCCCGAGAGCTACGGCTCCCCTCGCGATGGGTTTGCCTTTTCGCCCGCGAATGCCAAGGGACTATCCATCCTTGACGCTCCAATGCCCGCTTCATTTGACTCGAATGGCATCTCCAATGCTGCCCGCTTCCCCGCCGCTCCATGGCCATCATCGGTCCCCTCCAAGTTCGGTCTGGAATCTCCTTCTGCTTCACTGAGCAACGCCAAGGATTCTCGAACCTCCGATACCCTCAAACTCTTGCACACTTCTGCATTTGGCTCCTCGGACCAATTTTTAACCACCGGCAGTCCCCCGAGCTCAAACCCATTCGGAAGTGAAGAGTACTTTGGCAAGCGGGCCATGCACTCGTCAAGATATGCGAAGCCCAAGATGCTTAGCTCCAGTGTGCCAAAGACGAGCGTCGATCACGATTGGGAAGCTAGCTTTGCCTTTGGCGACGAGGGCGACAATGTGCCGGAAAACTACGTTCCAGAAAATCTCCAGGATCTTCTGACGCCAGCCGAGAAGGCTAGAAGAGGTTCCATGCGAGGCGAGAATGACGTCAACATAGAGGTCCTCTCCAAGTATGGAAGTCCCATGTCCTCTAGTCCGAGCCGCTGGGGCTCTCTTTTCCAGCGTCAAAAGGAGGAGGAGGAGCTATCCCGCTCTGCGCGAAACGCTGCCTCTCCTTTTGGTCATGTCGGCAGCCCTCTGCGGAATTCAACGCTCGCCCAGCAGATGGGTGGTGAAGCCTTCGGCACCAGTGCCCCCGGTCGCCCGTCATCCATGAGAATCGGCAGCGACTCCATGTCTACCCTTTCTCAACAGTTTCAACGCAGCCAGATCAACGATCCCCCGACCAGCTCCAGCCCGCGCCTACATCCCGCATCTGCAAGGACTGGTGGTTCCAACGCGGTTGGAAAAGACCGTGCCATGGAACGCCATGTTTCTACTGGCAGTATCAGCTCCGCTGTCACCGGCCGGTTCACCACTCCTATTGACGAGGAAGACCCTGATTTTGTCTTCAGTATGGAGGAGGACGATCCGGTAGCTGCTGCACGCATGCGCAAACGAGCTTCTGCTGGTCTTGGTATGAGCAGCTTCAGTTATGCCGGTGCCGTCACCGGCAAGGCACCAGATCGCAATACCAAGGAAAACAAGAACCCGTCGACTAACGGTCGGTGAGTGAGACTTTGCTCTTTTGGTCTTTGCTACATTGAGACACATACCACTCTCGCTCTTTGGCATCAGACTGTCTGCGCGCATTCTACATTGACGTCATTCAACCACTTGCTTGTTGATACGGAAAAGACAGGAAAAGACAAAACCACATTGGCGTTTCTTGGTTTATAGTCCTTAACGGGCTCTTTACACTGTTTATGGCTGGCATGCAACCAGGGGGCGTCCTTTTGACCGAACTCCTGAGTTGCAAATATGTTCTTTGCTACCTTTTCATTTCAAACAATACCGGAGTTTTTGCTGCTTTCCGCTGCTGGATGATTATAAACACATTCGAGCAAGCGCCTGTTGAGCACTCATTTACGAAAAGGACAAGGAATAAAACATGGGTCGAGTATGGAAAATTTACAAGGGATGGGTTATTTCTTTTCTTTTTCGTCCTGCTAGGGACTTTTCAATAAAGGGATTGTTGCTGTGTTTGTCTGGACGGCGCCGTGCTCTTATTCTCTGTACTTTTTGGTTCTTGTTGCTATCGGCTGGTCTTGTTTGTATTGCTTTGTTTCACGTGGCGTTTTTGAAAAGAGAAAATGAGATTAATGTTTTTTTTTGTTCCAGCTTCTTGCAAATGGTTTTTTCTGGATTTCTTCCGAGTTTCGCATAATGCCATATTTGTTTCTGATTCATTTGCTGTTTGTCGCTGTCTTGCTTTCCCATTTACAACTGACTCTGGTTGTGTGGCGTGCTCAAGTTGAAATCCAAGGGGCTCTTTTTTGTAATGTCTTGTTTGAGTAGTTTCAGTCTCTGTCTGTCGTTTGGCAACTCATAGATGAGGTATACTGGTTATTCCTCCCCGCAAATTCACTACGCGTTTTGCGGTCATTTCCGAGGTGGAATGTGCAGTAAAAAAAAGTGGTGATTTTATACAATATGGGATAAGCTTGCAGTCATGCCCGAACGGATTGTCTGCAACGGCAAGCATGCACCATACTCATACAACAGCTCTATTCGACAAGAAATCAAAATAAAAAGAAACTTGACAGAAATCCTTTATATTTTGATGAATACAACTCTTTCCGGGGGGCGCAGGTCCTAAATTACCCCTCATGAAAAACTCCCATCAAATCTCTCTCCCTTCTACTTCCATCACACGTAGACGATTTGTTCCTCTACTCAATGCTGCTGCGCATAATAACCGCTCCGCCTGTAAATATTGTACAACTGTGAGGTATTTTGGATTGGGCTTTTTTTTGTCCTTCTTTTGAATTGTTGCATTTCGCGTACATTCAGCCGCAAAGGGGAAAAGCAACCGTTTTTCGACGACGGTTTCCCCCCCGAGCTGTGGTTCGGCAAATTGGTCGGATTCGTTCTAGTTGGCGTCGGGCTGGCTGATGATGTACTCGACAGCCTTGTCGACTGTTTTGAAGAGCATGATTAGCATCCATGATGGTGGCGACTGCTTCGTGCTTTTCGCTTTGTCAAAGCTTACCGGAGTGGATGGTGTCGGCGTCCTTGTCGGGAATCTCAATGCTGAACTCCTCCTCAATGGCCATGACGACCTCGACGGTATCGAGCGAGTCGAGGCCGAGGTCGTTGGCAAAGTGGGCAGCGGGCTTGATCTGCAGAGTCGGGTTAGAACCGGTAACGGGGGGTGACGGATTGGATGGCGCGTCGGTGTTTGCGTCAATGGCAGGTAACACGTACGTTGGAAGCATCGTTGACCTAGACCACAAGTCCACGTTAGCAAATCGCTCTGGTAATGCACGTAAAGGGTTCAATGCCGGGATATCAGGGGTTGTTCTATCAGCCGGGCGAGTCGGCAGCCCGAACTCGAGGCATCAATTGCCATCACCGCAAGCAAAACCAAACGAGGCAGTTCCTCCCCAGCACCGAATCCCACCCCCTTCTTTCTTTTGCCCCCGAGCGGCCCGGTTTCACCAGTTTCTCGTACCTTGTCAAAGCCCTGGAGCAGGCTCATGATGCGGCCCTCGACCTCCTCCTTCTTCAGGCCGCCGCCAGCGCTGTACATGCGGACAGGCACGAAGCTCTGCGCGGCGGCGCGCAGGGCGACGACGGGCGCGGCGAAACGGGGTGCGAGCGTGGTTTGGCGGACGGCCGCGGCGCGGGCGACGGAGCGGAAGGCGGCTGTGCGGAACATTTTGGCTCGTATGTGGTGTGGAGGAGTTATTAAGAAAAGAAAGAACAGGCGGTGTCGAATGTACAGAGAGGAACGGGAGCAAATTGATGGGCTGCTGGCGATTGCGCGGTCGTCGGGGGTTGGGGTGGAGATTGAGGGAGAGCGTTGTGAAGATGGTGATAAATTTCTCGTTGCTGTCAGGCCCCCCAGCCAACCCAGGCCGGAAAGCTCCCAGGCAATTGAGGCAGCTTGGACGGCGGATGCGTCACGTGATGGGACTGCCCGTTTGGTTACTCAGCGGGATCAATGGGGGTGTTGATTGGCTGCCTGCTTGCGAAACTCAGTGAGCTACCCTGTACTCCGTACATATGCCATGTTCGTTTTTTTGGCGATTATTTGCGAGGCTAAAAGCGACCGGGGTTTTGCTGGAGAGGTTATTTCCTATGATTTTGGATAGTTATAATTGCAGGTACTCATTGTTTTTGGGCCTCACTCGTCGCAAATCGACCGAGTGGTGCGCCCTCGTGGATCGACACCTACACTTACACAAAGCATCTCGAGACTACAAACACAAACTCAACAAAAACGCGAAGAGAAAGTTTACACGTGTCCCAAATGAACAGGACAACGACTTGACGATCCGAAGTATTCTACCAATCCTGACGCGGCATGTTACCTCGGGGTCACTAAACTAAATTACGGGCCTGGCCAAACTTTTTGCTTGACCTGTCACCCATCACCAACTGCAACTGCTGCACTCTTCATCGTTTGTGCATGCCGAGGCATTACCAGTAATGGTACGTGCCACTGGCTCGCTAACACTGGCGCAAAGACAGAAATCGAATGCTGGCTTCTTCCCACAATCCTATGCCCGGGAAGTTGGTTTTCTTAGTGCGACAACTGCAAACTCAGTCCCGAAAGCAGCACTGGCCTTGTTTCTGACTGCGACGGGTAAAAAAAGTCGGTGCAGCCAGCGGGGAAAAAAAAAGAAGACATGGAAAGCATCGATTTGGAATTGAGTACCTAGCAAACTGACTTGTGTACCAAAATACGGACAGCCTAAACGAACGTCTGGGCACATGCGCTCTTCTCCAACTCGCCTCCCTGTCTTGCACATCAAGTCGATGCTACATCCCTGCCGGCACTGACATGTCTCGCTAGCGACTAAGACATGGAGATGCACAAATAATAAATAATAGACGTTGTTTCCCAAAAGGTGGCTAGGGACAGCTGGCCCCAAATCTGCCCACCCCCATAATTGGCATCAATCGAGCCATCGCCACGCACCTCGCCTCAACCATGAAGCCCCAGTCGATGCTCCCCGTCGCCGCGGCGCTCTTCCTGGCCGCCCACGGCTGTCTTCTCCCCGAAGAAATCGAAGCCGAGCGCCATCTCGCGTGGCACGGGCAGTACCCCGACACGCTGCTTCGCCTGCGCCAGAGACAAGCCGTCGCAAAGGACACGGGCATGCCGGTCGGCACCGGCGACCGCTTCGCGCACGGCACCGTCGCGCCGCGCGGCCTGGCCACCGCGGACCGCGACATGCGCACCCTCCTGACCCCCGCCGAGGTGACGTCGGGCCTGCGCGCGCTGGCGCGGCACTACCGCGACGTGCGCTTCTTCGACGCGCCGCACCCGACGCACGAGAACCGCACCGTGTCGGGCATCGTCATCGGCGCCGCCGCGCCGCGCGTCTACCTCGAGGCCGGCATCCACGCGCGCGAGCGCGGCGGCCCGGACCACATGCTCTACTTCCTGGCCGACCTGCTGCACGCGCGCGAAACCGGCGCCGGCGTCCGCTACGGCGCCAGGACCTACACCCCCGAGCAGGTCCGCGCCGCGCTCTCCGCGGGCATCGTGTCCATGCCCATGGTCAACCCCGACGGCGTGGCATACGACCAGGAGACGGGGTCCTGCTGGCGCAAGAACCGCAACGACGGGAGCGCCACGCTGACGCCCGCCGGCGCCGTCGGCGTCGGCGTCGACCTGAACCGCAACTTTGACGCCCTCTGGGACTACCACAAGTACTTTGACCCGGCCATCCCCCCGCCCGCTTCCACCATGCCCGCGTCGGAGAGCTTCCGCGGCACGGCGCCGTTTTCCGAACCCGAGTCCCGAAACGCGGCCTGGATCGCGCAGCAGCACCCCAGCCTGACGTGGTTCCTGGACCTGCACTCCATCGCCGGCGACGTCCTGTACGCCTGGGGCGACGATAACCCGCAGACGACGGATCCCTCGCAGAGCTTTACGAACCCCGCGTGGGACGGCAAGCGCGGCGTCATCGGCGACGGCCCGACCGGCGCCGTCTACAAGGAGTACATGGAGGCCGCGGACCTCCAGGCGCAGCGCGACACCGCCGCCGCCATGGCCGCCGCCATGAATGCCGCCGGCGACGGCACCACGGTGCACTTTGTCCCGCTGGAGGAGGCGTCCCTGTACGCCACGTCGGGCGGCTCGACCGACTGGTTCCTGGGCCGCTACTACGGCCACACGTGCGGCTCGAACCGCATCAATGGCCTCGCTATCGAGTTTGGCAGCGACAGCGGCCTGGACTGCCCCTTTTACCCGACTAACCCCCAGTTCCACAACTCGATGCGTCAGGTGGCCGCCGGGCTCATGGAGATTGTCCTCGCGGCTGCCGGCAAGAACGGCGAGCCCAAGATTTGGAAGTGCTAAAGGGCTCATGGCGAAAATCAGTATTGTAAAAACATTGCATATGAGGAAATAAGAGACTAGAGATATAGATTAGCTCAAAAGCTGTCTGGTTGCAGAAAATGACATGTTTCACAATCTCAAAGCAAGCTCATGGACAAGAAACGAAAAAGAACCTCTTTCGAGCCTATATACAGCTATGATTTCTTCCGCTGCCGCTCTATGCCCGTGCAACCATGCACGCTCATTCTTCTGAATACACACCATCGGGGGGGGGGTTTGCTAAATCATACAGAGGGAAAATTTGTAGGGAATTTCTTTCAAGCATCTCTTACGGTATGCTGTGAGTAGATTATCGGTAGGGAGCATCGGCGCGAATCGCGGCGGCCAGTTCGGGCTCCCACTTGTCGCCGTTGGAGAGCAATTTCTCTGCAACATGGTTAGTTTGTGCTCACGAAAAAAAAAGACTGGTGCCGTCATTTGCTACACCATACCCTTGTTGTAAAGAAGCTCTTCTCTCGTCTCGGTGGCGTATTCGGCGTTGGGGCTCTCGACAATGGCGTCGACAGGGCACGACTCCTGGCAGAAGCCGCAGTAGATGCACTTGGTCATGTCAATGTCGTAGCGGGTCGTGCGGCGGGAGCCGTCGGCACGCTCTTCGGCCTCGATGGTAATGGCCTGAGCAGGGCAAATCTGCAGCGAAAAAAGAGAAAAGAGTTAGAAATGGCTTGTCAGTGGCCAATGGAGGCGGCTGGGTTGGCACATACAGCTTCGCAGAGCTTGCAGGCAATGCACCGCTCTTCGCCTGAGGGGTATCTGCGGAGGGCGTGCTCGCCACGGAAACGCGGGGAGATGGGGCCCTAAATCGAGGTGTCAATTGCTATTCTATTCTGTTTTCGCGCCCGGGGGATGTCTGGATTCGAGGGGGTTGCCGGTGTACCTTTTCAAAGGGATAGTAGATGGTATAACTGCGTTGCGTTGTTAGCAAACCCGACCTCTCCGAGTATTCTTCATTAACTTCTTCTGCCGCCCCAATTCGAGCCGGCAGCATCTCAGAAAAGACTAGAAATTGAAAACGTACGGAGGTCGGAAGAATTGCTCCATCAGCAGGTACATTCCTCTGGCCATTTCGGTCATGAGGAAAAACTTGCCCACACGGTCCAGCGTGCTCTCGCGGTCCCAGGACCACTCGATGCGCTTGCTCTGGCGGAAATTTTGCGGAGGAGGGCCGTTGGGCGTGGCGTAGCCTCGTTGCTGGACCGCGGCGGCGGCGCGCAGAGCGATGAGGGCAGCTCTCGAGGTCGAGGTCGTCGCGGCGACTTGGGTCAGCTGGCGGCGGGCCAGCATGGCCGTGGAGGCAGTCAGGGCCGGCGCCATTCTCGCTGTGTGTGTACGAGTTTAAGTCGTCGTCGAATTGCAAAAGGCACCGTTGCAATTGATGTCGTGCCGGACCCGTCGAGGGGGGGGAGGTGGTGATGGCGGTTGTATTGGGGTTTGGTTGTTGCGAGCTGGGGGAGGGCGGATCGATTTGGTGTTCAATTAGCTTTATTTCCTGGTTGCGCTGCGGGATTACAATGCTCGGGTCGTGATTGGTAGTTGGAGATCACGTGCTAGATCACGTGCAACACCTCTTACATATTGAGAGAGCGCCTGACTTTGGCGATGAATGGGCGAAATGTAGGCAATTAAAATTGCGATAAAATGATGGAAGAGGATAGATTTAGCTTTATCAGTATACTCTATTTTCTCTGCCTGATGGCTGCTGTGTGCGTGGTTTCCCTGCACCTTTGCCACTTACACGGTTGCCCAAAACCGAAATAGAAAAAAAGGTAAATTAGCACGGGTAAAACAGCGCATGGAGCTTATAATAGTAATCTGAAAAATGGAGTTTCCAGCAGTTCAATTGTAGTGGTTAGATCTCATATCCCATGACCATTGGTGTTAGGCGGCTGCGGAAACCAACACAGAAGACTTTCATCCTTGATGCCTTGTTTAAATCGAGGCAAAGTATCACTGGCCAATTCCAAGAAGTTAGATCCAAATCGTTTGCATTTTTGAACTAGACAACAAAAATCATATACTAGCTAGTACTCGATCCATCGGGCCAAAGGTGACTGAGCGCTTCCGCAGTAGGGCACTCAAAGTCAATGTCATTTAGATACCACCATACTGGCGGAGGAATCCAGCAAGGAACTTGAGGGAAGGTCCCAGAACAATAGATGCCTGACCGCTGAGACCGCCGAGGATATCCTGAAGGATGAGCAGCAGACCGGGGGCAATGTCTTTGCCAAAGACGGCGACAGATGCGGTGAGGAAGGTGGTGAAGAGGCTGAAGGAAATGTTGAGAATAGCGAAAGGGATGCCGCTAATGCCAAAGGCGTCGACAAGAGCACCAAAGACGAGAATAGAGGCGCGGATGAAGCCGCCGATGGCGCTCTGGACGAGCTGGAGCGCCTCCTTGGGCAGGGCGACGCGGGCAGCCGACAGAAGCTTGGCGGCAAGCGCGCCGATCTCACCAATCAACTTCTGGAGATCATCGCTGCTCAGGCGGGTGGCGGTCAGCTTGGTGATGGCACCGGCCTTGAACTTGCCAATGGTCACGTCTGTGAAGAACACGGGGGGTTAGCAGGCTGCCATTACTGGGACGTCAGCGCGTGGGATTCGTACTGATGGAGACGCCAATGGTGTTGACGTTGCCGGTGGCCTTGTTGATGGCGTTGATTAGGTCCTCGGCGGACTGCGCGCGCTTCTCGACGGAAAACTCGGACGAGGCCACGGCGGCAGGCTCGCGGGCGGCCAGGCTGCCCTCGATGGGAGAGGGAGCGGCAAAGACGGAGAGCGCCAGAGTGGCGAGGGAAACGAAGACGGCCTTCATTTTGGAACTGGTTTGGTTTGGAAGAGTCGAGAAGAGTCGAGCTTGGTGGAAGAGGCTGGATGGATGTGAGAGTGTTGTGTCTGGAGAAACAAGACATCAAGGAAGGTGATTTCATTGTCTATTTATATTCCCAAATTACGGGCAAAAAGAGGCTGAACTGACAATGTAACGAGGCTTACACACTTTTGCCTTCTATCAGTTGTGATTAAAGGAAAGAGGGCCCTGATAGACGAGCAAGTTCCTGCTTGGCGAGGGTGATGCCATGGCTTGTGGCCGGTCGAATGTTACCACACCCATCACGTTTGCGGCGTAAACTTGCAATCTTCAAAGTAAGATTTGGAGAAGAGCTATTGCTACAGCGATGCAACCACCGCCTTGGCACCATTCCGCGTACAATCGCGAGATCGACTAATGCAACATTCTGCGTCTTCCGCCTCAACACAAATGACTCTAGAACACCCCAAAACGGACAACCTGGTTGCCACGTGAGCGGCTCCCGATAGGTTCAAAATACCGCCTTGCATCTTAAATATAGAAGAGAGTCTATGAGATATCCGGATTTAGTGTAGTGAACCTCGCAAGCGCATGGCAAATCACTAGCGCGGCAGTTCCGCCATTTTCCACCTTGCCATCAGCTGTGATGTAGAGAGATAGGCTATATGGATTTATCCATTTGCCTTGACATATATTGGCGTATACGTGATTGAACATGAGCGTGACTACGAGTCCTGTTCTGTTGGTTGAAGCGCCTTGTCATCAGGCAGCTTGCGCCAGTGTGTAGCGCCATAGGGCTGGTTGCTTGCCGTTTTCTGTCGCCGAGAGCGTCGGCCGGCAAATGGTATATATTTTCCTTGCGCAAGCGTTTTCCGCCATCGCTCCCTTGAATCGAGCTGAAATGATAAAGCGGGCACGATGGTCGGAGACTTCCGAGTAAGGCGAAGAATGAGTGCGCAACCTGGAGTATGCGGGTCTCCTTGGTCGTACCATTGCAGGACCGTTGCAGTCGCACCCATAGTTTTCGGGGAAGAAATCTGACAGCCGATCCAGTTGGTATTTTTAAGTTTCATGTAAGCCCGAATAACCCTGATTTCCTGGTCCACGTTGATGCCAAGGCGAGAGCTCAATATTGTGAGGGCCGTACGCTGCCTTCTGGGACGTCACCTTGTTCCATCAAGAAATCGACTAAGCGGCCGTATAAGCTGAGCAGTAGTGAAATGCGCAGGGTTCGGGAATAGAATCTCTAGCTATTCGCCGCAGCCTCAAGCCGCCGTGGCCAATTCCGAGAACAGGCTTAGACCGGCAACGTTGCCGAACGTCGCTTCGCTGGCACAACGCAGCGGTTCCTTGATTATTGGGTATCTACCACGTGGTGGCCTTCTGCCACATAAATGTTATTGGATATCTGATATGCGCACCAAAATCACGTCCATTGTATGTAGTACTACGGCAAATGGGTCTAGCTAGAAGATAAGCCACGAAACCTCGCAACATTGATACTTTGACTGATGGTTCGACTGAAGAAGAAGAGAAATATGAAAGAAATCAGCACGTAATTCGGCGACAACGTTAATGGACCCAGTCTAGAAGAGTCCAACTCCTTCCGTGTGGGATCTATTGTCCGGAAACGTAGAAAAATAGCCTTCGGGCGCTTTATAAGTTTTGAGACTACCACTAGCTGCCCCGAAGCCGATTTCGCGCCTGCGACGGGTAAGCCTCTGTCATATACGCCATTTGAGTTGCCGAGAGCGGATAGCGTGTGACCTGTCATAAATGATATTCGGACCTTACTTGCTTACCCCAACGACTGTGTCCTGCCAATCGCCCACGAATCATGGATTTCTGCCTCGTTGAATTGCTGTGCGGGCCAGCAACGGCTATTGAACGTTACACCTACCGAAGGGCAATAACTCGTTGATGTTGGTGCTCTTCGATTGAGCATACATGTAAGACAAAACAGGCTCGTCGTGTTAGACTGACAGGCTTGGCCTATCGATTCGTTATACCAAGTCCTTTTGTGCACTTCTACATCAAATCACGAAATGAAAGCAGTGCACATCAAAATATTCCATTTTGGGTATAAAATATTATGGTCAAAAATAATCGCGCAAAGACGCAAGAAAGAATCAGTAAGGTCCATCCCACTAATACGTGCTCTGCTCATAGCCACCGTCTCCAAGAAATGAGCTACCAGCATGCCATTTAAACACCGGTGGGAGGAGCAATGCCGGCCACGAGGCCAGCGACGACTGACAGCAGGGGGCCGACGAGACCAGTGCCGAGCGCGGCCAGGAGCGGCGACAGGATCGAGAGCAGACCGGGGATGATGGCGGTGCCGAGCGCGGCAATGAGCGTAATCAGAATCTTGGACAGCAGGGTGAGGACGGACTGCACAATGGAGTTGAGGGCGGGCAGGGCACCGAGCAGGGCCAGCAGGACCTTGACGGTGGAGAGCACCTCGGTCAGCAGAGCCTCGACCTCGCCGAGGATGGTCTGGAACTCGCCCTTGGTGGTGCTGATGCCGACCTTGTTGAGGACCTGGCTGAGGATGCCGGCGAGCTCGTCGAGGAGGTTCTGCAGATCGTCGGTGGTCTGCGTCGCGGCCTCGTCCTTGGACGTCTTGCCGGACTGGACGCCGGCGAGGGTGGAGTCTGCAACGAGGGCGGGTGAGTCTTTCTGTGTTTAGCCTGGAGTGGACAAGAAAAGAACGTACTGATGGAGCCGGTGATGTCCTTGATGTTGCTGTTGCCCTCCGTCAGGGCCTTGATGAGGTCGGCAGCGTCCTCGCCGTCGCGCTTGTCGACGACAACGGCGCTGTCGCGGACGGCGACTGTCCCGACGGCCGTGCTGCCCTGGACGGTGGGAGCCGCAAGGGCAGTGAGAGCCAGAGCGGCGAGAGAGAAGAATACGGCCTTCATTTTGGAGAGTGGTAAAGGAGTGTCTGTTGAAGGGGTGGGTTAAATGAGTGTGATGGTGAGAAGAGTGAGGAGCGTGGTGAGGAATAATAGAAAAGTATCGAGACGGAGGAGGCACACGGCTCTATTTATCTCTGAGATGGACTTTCAGACCCCTTCAACTAGCTCAGGAGTCTTATTGATAAGTTGCGCATGCTGCATTGGACCAGGAGTGTTGAAGCCACTCTATGGCGAGATGTCGGACCACATTGCTGTGGAGTCGGCAATGCAGCTACAAATTGATAGGCGTGAAAATCGAATACTATATCTTAAACAACCATGCTAAGCGAGATGTCGTTGTGAATGCTTCACGAGCTGTGCAAGTCGAAAACGGCCGCCCCTTCGCCGAGCCAGGTGCCGGTTGGACCAGGCCTGCTGGGGTCCCAACTTACAAGCCATGCAGCAAAAAGGGGCATAAAGAAGACGCAACGGAGCAACAGCTGGTCAGTTGCGAGTAGATCGCCATTACCAATACCAGTGCCGTCATCCAATACATTGGCTCCTCCGGGTTCAGCTTCAAGTCCGTGCCGGTCCGACGGAGGTGACGGGGTGGCTTGGCGGAGTTTGCTTCCTATCTGTTTTGGAGAGCTAGAAGAAGAAAAAAAAAGAAGCAAGAATAGTACAAGATGTGACGGGCTGTTGGCTGTGAGAGTGGCGCGCGCCATGCAGTCGCGAATCGGGAGAGGTGCAAAATGGCAAATCCCGAGACCGGGGGACCCTACTTGATATCCCCCCCTGACCATTCCTAGCCAAAACACATGTAAACAAGTGTGGTATGTAAATGAATCATCGAACAAAGGCTTGCATCGGGCCCTAACGATCGTTCGTGGCTTGTCTAAGACCTCGAAACGGCGAAACACGCATGGAATCTGTCATGGAACTTTCTGGAGGATATTGAAACAAATTCAGACAACATAAGTTGTCCTCGTCCAAAAAAAATCCAGAAATGGGACAGCCCGACAAGGGTCTTGTCTAATCCCAGCACATCCCAGCTGCCGCTTCCGTTTCGGGCCCATCGACGGACAGCTCAATTCCGCGCGGCCAAAGCCGTGCAACCGTTATTATCAGAGTAGGATTTTCTTCTTTGGAAATGCCGCCTGAAGAAGGAAAAAAAAAGTACTGGGCCCTTGCCATCACATCATTTCCTAGTTCGGTTCGAGCATATACATTGGCGCATAGCCGGCCGATAACCTGGGCGGCATAAACCCCGACGGCGTCGGGGGAGTCGCATGTTGGTTCTGTGCTTCGACGCACAACATTGTATAAGTGAAAACGCAAGGCTGCTTGTAGTGCACCTATATTCATGATATGCGCCCGCCCAGCATCACTGTCACACCGGACCATCTTCCCTGATTCATTTTGTGTAAATCTTCTAGTTGAGCAGCGCTGCTGAGACGAATACTGAACCCTGTGTTCCAGACCCTGAATTGTCACCGCTTTTTAGACCAACTCAGGCCGCTGTCAAGCTGGAGCAGTCTGGAAATAAAACCGCCCGACCGGATGACCCGGTTGATTGAGTAACTGAGACAAAAAAGATGGCATCTCATTTCGCGACTTCAGCCCTCACCTCCAAAAAAGAAAGCAAAAAGTGTAAATGACGCGATAAGCAGAGCCTTGGCCAGCTTCCAACCGGCCTTATTGGGTGGGACCGAAGCGAGGGCAAGGCCACCCTTGGGTACTACCAAAAGAATGTCATCGTTTTTTTGTAAGACAACGACGCGATATCCGAGTTACTATCAGAAATCATGCTCATGTCGCCCCCAACAGCCTCCCCCTACAAGATAAGATGCAGAGCCTCATGCCGAGCACGCCATCACAAGGGTGCAGGCGTTCCTGTCAGGGACCCTGAATAGGGGCCGACCCTGAATTTATCAGATAGCTGCACGCCTTTCGTCTATTGCAACAAAGGCGCCGAAGCCTGGAAAGCTGGGCCAGGGACCAAAAGCGGCCGTCGATACAGCCCTCATGTAAAAGCCCGCCGAGGGACGACTTTGCTGCCGTCTCCTGGCCGCCGCGGACTCTTTGAGGCCAAGAGTAACACCAAACGTCGTTTAGATCTGGTTCTTCGCGCCTCGCGAAGCGGCGCATGTGAAAAGCGCCACCACCGGCCCGATCTAGCAGATCCATGTCTTGATTTCTCCAACTAGTAGTTACTCGCTCATATCATCGTCGTTGCTAGAGAACACTATTAGATGGCTCATTCTGCTACCCGAGAAAGAAGATCTCTGGTTTGCGACTTTATTGGCCATTTGGTGACTTTTGCATCTAAAACCACTTCATAAACTCCGCGCACAACCAACAACGAAGATGATCATTTGCACAAGGTAGGTGTAAATTAGCATCGACCGAGTTCCTCTTTCCCCTGTTCCGATTATAGTTCCCAAAATGACGTGGCCCCTTCTAACTACCCCCCAACTACTATCGCAGAAGCTGAGAACATAATGGCACGAGATTAGCTGTTGCTCGACCAGTCGGCAGTTGGTGGCGGACATGGTCGATGCTACCTCAGCCGTGCAAGGGTGTCGCCGCGACAACGACTCCTATTCTGATCCAGCCTCTTTTCCCCCTTGCTCAATCATCACATGAGAAAAAGCAAACGGCCTGACTTGGGGCAAGAATATAAACCCGCGTGCTACATATGGCACGCTGTAAAAGTCTTCATTATGCTTTTGCTATGTTGTCTAGAAACCCAGAAATCGGACAAAAATATCGGTATAAATGTTCGCTCGCTCCACCAAAAGTCGAAAGGGATGCAAGCGCTTCCTCTGTATGCAATCATAAAAAAAAAATCAAGCATGTAAATCCAAACCGTCATGTAAACTGTGTGCCGCCACCGAGCCAAGTCGCCCTCATTCCTGAGGAGTAGGCTCGTCACTGCATCATCAAAAGCTCCGTTCCCACGCTCCCCACCATACACCAACATTGGCCGCAACGAGCAAATCAATCATCTTGAGGCCCTCGTGATGAATAATGAGCTTCCCGAGCTTGGCCCTGTTGCCACGATTGCCGCCACCCGCCCGCTCTGCGCCGACACTTATGCCGTCATGGTCTCCGTGGACGAGAAAGCCGGAGCTGGGGAGGTCGAAGCGCAGCTCGCTCAGAGCCGTGGCCGACAGTCTGGGCAGGTTCACGCCCTGCTCTTCCAGTAGCTGGTTGTACGACACGTTTTCGGGGTCGTACGGCGTGTGATAGCAGCTGACGCTCCGGCCAGACAGACCAGTTCGAAAATCGCACTTGCCGCCCCACGGGCTGGTGAATGTGTAGCCACGCGGCTTCATGCCCGGGCCGGGTTGCCCCAAGGCGGCTGCGGCCTGCTCCTTGGCCAAGTCCTGAGACGAGTCGCTGTCGCTCCGGTTATGGCCCTTTTTGTTCATCTGTTCCTCAAGTTTCTGAAACTTGTCCTTGATATTCAACATAAGGCTCTTGGTGTAGCCCATTTGCAGCTGCCGGGAGAAGACTTCGTTCTCTTTCCTCTTGGGCACCGTCTGGGGCACCGCATCGGACATCGTATCGGGCGCCGTCTCGGGTACCGTCTGGGGCACTGTCTCGGACACCGTATCGGGCGCCGTATCGGGCACCGTCTCGGGCACCGTCTCGGGCTCCCTCTCGGACATCATTTCGGGCAGCTTAAGTCCACGGGCGGCAGCGCTCGCTGCGCGCGCTTTCATTTCTGCCTCGATACTGCGTCGTCGTGCCAAGGGTCGGAACTTGACGTATCCCTGGTGTTCGATATCGATGTTGATGGGTGGGCTGCTCGTTGACACGACGTCGGGGGGGCTGCTTGTCTTGAACAGGCCCAGACTCTGCTCCTCGTCCTGAACCGGAGGATCAAGCTGCCGCGAGGTGATTTCGGCCGCGTTCCACTGAAGACCCGAGCCGGGCTGCCTCCGAACCAACCTGAGAGTAAAGGGTTCGCCGGGGGGCGTCGACGCAGCACTGTTCTTTCGGGGCGATGGTGACCGGCGGGCGTAGCTGTGAAGCGGGTCACGCACATCGTTGAAGGCGCTGGCGTCACTATGCGACCTGAAGCGGCGGCTTCTCGCTAGCGGCGGCGGGAAGCTGTCGGGGAGGGCCATGGAGGGACCCATGGCTCTCGGCCCAACAGGCTTGCGCACCGGCGGCGCTTGCATGCCCGTGGGGATTCGTGGGGGGGGATGGCTAGGCTCGTCGGTACCGGACGTGGGACTGTAGGAATCGGTCGCCAGAGATGAAGACAGAGCTGGGCGAAAGCTGTCTTGCGATGTCAAAGAGGCGCCCCGTTGGCGACCGTTGGGCACGGGTACCTCTACGGGCGCAGGTACGGGCACAGGAACAGACACGGGAACAGCCGCCGCCGGCACAGGCACGGGCACAGGCACGGGCACAGGCACTGGGTCGACCAGATTGACCTTGGAGCTGGACGCGCTGTCTGGCGTCAGCGGGCGTGCGTCTTTGGGCAAGGGCTTGCGGCGAATAGGTATTGCGGGAGCGCTCCTGTTGGGCGTGATGGCTGTCGCGTCGAGTTGGACCGGTGTCGGGGCCGGTTTCTCATCCTCACCGGGGAGCACGAGGTGAACGATATAGAGCGCGCTCTCAACGTCGGCAAGGCCAACATTCTTCTCCGAGGGCTTGGACGGGGTGAGAATGATGTCTGCCAAGTGTTAGTGACCCAAGCGTGGGGGGAAGTAGTGGGCCGTCCAGGGCAGCTGACCTCTGCTTCCTGGCACTCGAGCAATGTAGAGCGTCACGGAGTCTAGCCTGTATTCGTCGGGCTTCTCTGGGTACGCAGGCGGGTTCGACGCCAGCAGATTCAGGTCGGCGAGCGAGATGGCCTCTTTGGGCTGAACGGCGGCCATTGTCGGCCTGGCTCTTGTCGGGAGGATTGCTTTCGATTCGGGGACGGCGTTCGAAGCTCGAGATGGACAGGATGCTCAGCGTGCTTAAAGGTACAGCAGGTAGCGAGAGCGAGAAGGGCTGCTGGACAGGATTAAATAGGTAGATTCTCTCAAACGGCGCGCGCGTCCAAAAGTTTCAAGCAGAGGATGACACACGGAGGCGGGGCACAATGGCAAGCAAAAACAAAACAAATTGGATGAAGCGAGCGTCAAGATGAAAAGAACGGTGCGTTGCGGGATAGAGGAAACGTTTGCAATTTGAAAGAAACAGTTCTGAGTCGTGCAGTCTCGTGCTTCCCGTTATCGGGCACAAACGACGGCAAGGAGCACGATGCAAAGCAGATTGTCTGTCTGCCGCGTTGGAGGGGAGAATTTGGTGGCCGAGCGACGTCAGCCGCCGGGGCTGTGCCACAGACCAGAAGCCGCCCACTCGGCGTGGCACGAGTGTAGGACGGACTAGTGCGGGATAGAATAAGGGAAAAGAAGAAGATGATTCATAAAATAGCAAAACAATAAAACAATAATAATGAAACAAAATCAAGGCTTGCGCGCGTCTGCTTGGTGGCCGTCTCGAGTCATTGTTTGATGCTAATGTGGCGGAAAATGAGAAGATGAGGCGGCGTTACGCTGACCCTTGCTTTTGTTCATTTCAGCGACCCTGAACACCTGGACACACTAACCAGCCTAATGACGTCGTGGCCTACGCGGCATCGGCACCTGCTGATCTGGAGCCCGATTCTTTGGCTTTTTGTATTCTGGCATTAAATCGTCTCGTGCCGCCTTGCCTTGGCGCTAATTGAGTCGCTACGAGTTTTGCTTTTTTTTAGTCTCATCTCATGGTCTGTTTTTAGAAGACTTTTGCCTCTTCGAATGGCACCGAAGGATCCGGATACACCGCCTGGAAATGTCTTGACTGCGGTGCGCAGTGCATACACTTGGACACTGTGGCATCGAGGCTGTCGAAATAAAATTAGGCACAAGGAAAATAGTAAGCTGATTTGTAATAAAGAGTATGAAAGAATAAAACACCCCAGACACGTAGAAGCCAGTGGAGCTATCTACTGTCTTATACCCCGTCCAGTCATATTAGCCGCCCATCTCGACGACGAGTCGCCGTGTGCCTTGTCATTATTTGTTAGGCTGCAATAACAGTTAGAACGCCATTAATACACGTAGTCGCCCAGACAGCCGGCCTCCCACTCTGCTCATGGAGGCGGCTTGGCACAACGTCAGCCTCTCTCACCGCAACGACTTACACGGCAGGCCGGACCGTCGGTGGCCGTGGGCTGCGGAGCCGTCTCGGTCGGATCGTGCCAGTCGAGCGAGTAGATGTAGCTCGTCGACGCGCACCCTGCCGGGCACCTGCTCTCGCTGCACGGGTACGAGACGGTCGCCGTCGCCACGCCGCAGCCGCTGGGCACCGGCACCGTCGAGATGGCCAGGCAGGCCTTGACGACGCAGGTGCTGCACTGCTCGGCAGTCGTCGTCACGGTCGGGCAAGGCGCATCGGCAGCGGCAAGGCTGTGAGACGGGCGAGGGCGTGTGAGCGGAGAAAGCAAGTAGACGGGGGACCCTTACCTGGCAAAGAGGACAATGGCAGAAGCAGCAGAGAACTTCATTTTAGGGCGTTTCTTGTGAGGTTGTGTTGGACTATGATAAAAAAAATCGCTACTGATTTCGACAGATGAGACCGGAAGCGCGACCTTTTATACCTGATTTCTCTCTCCATATGCGACACACCTACCGACCAGAAGTAGGCCGGCTACATCAGCCAAGAGTCCCTAGACCGAGCCGTCACCGTACCCTCGGGGAATAACGTCGAAGCGTAGGCTGTGGCTGAAAATAGAAGGTGTGTCCGGCTCGACGTGGTTACGATCAGCTCGTCTTGGCATGGAGGGGTAAGTTGTCTCTACACCCATTCTATTCGTCTTGTATTTCAACGCTGGAATAGCAGAGCGAGAAATAGAATAAGACATTGGGTCTAGAGAGTATCATACAATTGATTCAATGAAGAAATGGAATCTGGGAGTATAGCTCTATTCATTGTCCCGCGTTGCGATGAATGTTCGCCATGTTGATCACATTACTAGGCTGTCCGATCGTCATCCACCATCATGCCGGCCATGCAAGCTGAATGTGCAAGCAGGGCGAATACGAGATGCGCTTCCGTTTATGACGCCGATCTTGCCAGGTCCTGTCTGCTGCAGCCGCAATCCAACCCTCCGTATTTTCTCTGCAGCCGAGTCACCATCACCTATCCATGACATCAAACACACGTATTCCCCCCTCGTATCTTCTTCAGGAACCCAGCCTACCCTCACGCCAAGCCCTTGGCCCGGAGCTCCCTCACCACGTCCCCAACCACGACATCCAGGTCCTCGTCCTGCAGCCCAAGCTCGTCCATCGCAAACTCGTCGCGGCGCGTCCAATCCGCATCCACCGCGCCGAGCACAAACACGATATTGTGCAGCGCATCGGCGTGTCCCGCCGCCAGCCGCGCCGTCTCGCGGTCCAGAAACGCATTCGAGTCGGCGTGCGCCGTGTGCCACGCGCGGCCGGTCGCGCGCTCCAGCGCGGCAACGACCTCGAGCGGCGTGGCGCAGAAGCTCTGCACCATGACGACGCGGTTG